ATTGAATAAACAAGGCAAGCGGAGGAGTCAGGAAGGATTTTACTGGGTAAACATCTTGGCTGGAATCTCACAAAACCCAGAACTGCAGCTCTATCGCGGAACTCACCCCATGTACAATTGGATGTGATGTAGTTGTGCTGAAACCCTTATGCCCGGTTGCACCGTTTGACTAAACAGTGATTAAAAATTTAATCGTCGTTTAGTTTGAAAAATGTGTTGTACCGTCGCTTAACCACTGTTTTGTGTATTCTAAGCAACGATTATATTAACCGGCACTTTTTGGCTGATTAACGCCCGATTAGGGACCGTTTAGTATATTTCCTTGTTTTTTTTAATTACGGGTGACAGTGGCTATGGTCTTAGATCCTATTTGTTAGCCCCTTTAGTTAATCCTGCAACAAGAGCCGAAAGGTTATACAATAAGTCCCATATCCGAACAGGGAACGTGATCAAAAGATGTTTTGGAGTTTGGAGAAGAAGGTTTCCCGTTTTGGTGTATGGCTTGAGAGTAAAACTGGAGACCGCAATGCACATTATTTCGGCAACTGCAGTTCTATATAATATGGCAAAAAATATGGGTGAAGAAGATCCTCTTTTGCTTGCAGATATTAATGAGGAGCTACACCTTAACAAACACCCGGTTTAATGTCAAGGGAGATTAAGTTTTTTTTTTATTTCAATTTGAAAAACTTATAATTGAAGCTTTCGCTTTCTTTCACATTCAATCATTAACAATTCCTCTTCCAATTTATTTTTCTGCAAATCTGCTAGTTCTAGACGTTTATCAAGCAGTTGGTCGTACTTTTCAGCTATTTCAAACCTTGTTAGAGCTTTGATTTGCATTGTTAGTCGACGTCTAGTACATGCTAGTACAGAAGTTAGTAGCATAGAACAAGGCTTATATATATATATTATATCTTATAGGTCAGTAGTACACAATAACAGAGACAAGTACTTGTCTCTGCACCTTTGAATATAAAACTAACTTAGTTTTATTTAGTTAGTTTTATATTCAAAGCTCTGCACAATAAAATATAACATAACCAATATATTACTGGCCGCGTTGCTGCGAAAGATCATGTGAAATAAAATTCGATAATCATGAAGATAGCAACATAAGCCAAAAAAGCGGAGATGCCATAGTGATTCTCTGATTAACTAACAGACGATTAGTTTGCGACGGTGCAATGCATTTTTTTTAAACGCCGGTTAAGATATAATCAGTGTTTAAAGCGAAAACGGTGCATCCGGGGGTTAAAATATCTAGCACAAACTGAGTTTCAGGCGTTAAACTGGTTTAAGGTCGCTTGATGAAAATGGGCCTTAGACTAGTGTATGAGTAACGGATCCGAAGTAACGAGTCGTTACGAGTATGCGAAAGTAACCGAATCTAACACCACTGTTTTGGTAGCTTCGTCCCATATCAGTCATGTTGATTTTCGTTCAATTCATGGACGGACATACGCGCTCAGATTTATTTATTCGGAATACATACGAGCGTAGCTGAGTACGCTCGTCTACGCTCGCTTGTATTTGTGTGCCTCTAAACTGGTAGATCTGGACGTTTGCCGACCTCATATTTTAAGTCACGTTTAATGTAAATATACATAATTTGTTCACTTCTTCTCCTATTAGCTGGCATCGTTTCAACCTTTCATTCTACTCACTTCAATCACCTACTCTTAATGGCTCCCTACTCTGCTCTCTTTAACTGGTAGTTTGCGTTTTAACAGGATTTTTAGCGTTTTCCTGAAGTATAGTAGACTCACTTCATGTTAACTTTCTGGTCTCTTTAGTAGTTTCAGTGTAATATTTAGCATTTCAACTTTCCTAATTCAGTAACTGTACTCTTTGCGTAGAACTAGGATCATTTTCAATAGGCAATAGCAGTACAACTGTAGCACGTAAAAGGTTTCAAAACGTAAAACGTTCATTCTAGAATGCCATTCTTCGGTTTATCACTCAGTAGTTGAACACACATTAGCCCAAACTTTACTTAGATATTTTAGGATTGACTTTCTAGTTGTTTAGATTGGTTTTGTTGGAAAATTCTGACTTTTTCATTTAGAACTTTGCGAATGCCATCAAATACAGGGTGATTTCAATTATGTGCTAGCAACAGAGCAAAAAACCTACGGTTTTCAGCACTTGTGCATACCTGGCAGTTCAAGTGTTGTGCAGTGTATTATGCAGCTTTTCAGGCTGTCCCGGACTTGATTTTGCACGATTATTTCCGCCACAAAGGGAAAGAGCAATTTTGTATGAAAAAAATGCGGTCTTTAGCCCGAAAAGTTGAATTTTATATTTAAATAAATTTGAACATTTTTACAATCTGCCCTGTGCTACTAAGGCACTTTTCTTGAAAGACCAAAAGTTTGGGAATTTGCAGAAAATCAATGGGCGTTCTGATTGTAAATAAGTTCAGTTTCTTGGCCGATATCGAACAATTGCAGGTTGGTTGATTTTTCTTGGGAATTCGGTCTGGGCAGTGGTGAAGAAAAAGAAAAACTTTTTTAGCTACCAAGCTTTCGGCAATTTATTGTCGCCTTCCTCAGGTAGCACCCTGAGGAAGGGGCGACAATATGCTAGCTAGCTAAAAATGCTAGCTAAAAAAGTTTTTCTTTTTCTTCACCACTGCCCAGACCGAATTTCCAAGACAAATCAAATATCCTGCAATTGTTCTGATTTTAGTCATTTTTTCTGCTTAAAAGCGCTCAACCCTTCTCTACAAAATCGCAAAATCGAGTCGTGATATTTGCACTCACGGACAATTTACGAATTTTTTGCAGAGACTTCTTAATTCGAGGTGGTAAATTTGAAAAGTTTCTGAAAATTTACGGGTTCTCTTGTTAGACTGAATTTTTTGTTGCGGAAGCGCAAAAGTTTTCTCGATAGTCTCCCAAGTTATGAATTTTATATCTGGACATGTTTGAAAATTAGGAATTTTTACAATGCGGCCTGCGCTAACGCGACATTTTTCCAGAATGACCAAAATTTTGAGATTTTGCAGAGAATCAATCATTTATGTTTTCTGCCTAAAATCACGAAAAAATATTTACAACCACCGTCAATTTACCAGGTTTTTTGATTGCACCCTTCTATTCAAGGACTTTTTTTGGTTCGCGCTTCCCAACTTTTGAACTCTATATTTCCATACGTTTGAAAGTTACAGTTTTTCCGAAATTGTTTCTTCCGGATGCCGACTTCAACATACTCAAAGGCCACCAAAGCGCTAGGCAGAGTTTTTCATACAAAAAAAAAACAAAAAACTGCACTTTGAATCACGATGTATTTTTCCAATGTACCGGAATTTTAAATAATTTTTTCTACTCTGTACGAAAGCTGTTGAAATAATTTCAGGGTGCTACCTGAGGAAGGCGACAATAAATTGCCGAAAGCTTGGTAGCTAAAAAAGTTTTTCTTTTTCTTCACCACTGCCCAGACCGAATTTCCAAGACAAATCAAATATCTTGCACTTGTTCTGATTTTAGTAATTTTTTCTGCATAAACGCGCTTTGCAAAAATTTGCACTCACGGTCAATTTACCAATTTTTTTATGCGCCCTTTATTCACAGAGTTTGAGATGGCAAATTTGAAAATTTTCTGTAAAATTTACGGGCATTCTTGTGAGATTGAAATTTTTTGTTGCGGAAGCGCAAAAGTTTTCGTGATAATCTCCGAAATTTTCAATTTTATATCTGGAAAATTAGGAATTTTTACAATGCAGGCACGCATTAACGTAGGCCGTTAACGCGACTCTTTTCCTGAATGACCAAAATTGTGAGATTTTGCAGAAAATCAATCATTTATGTTTCCTGCCTAAAATCACAAAATGACGAAAAACTATTTACAACTACCGTCAATTTGCCAGTTTTTTTAAATTCCACCCTTTTATTCAGCGACTTTTTTTTGGTTTGCGCTTCCCAACTTTTGAACTTTATATTTCCATACGTTTGAAAGTTACAGTTTTTCCGAAATTGTTTCTTCCGGACTTCAACATACTCAAAGGCCATCGACGCGCTAGGCAGAGTTGTTCATACAAAAAAAAGCAAAAACTGCACTTTGAATCACGATGTATTTTTTCCAATGTACCGGAATTTTAAATATTTTTTTCTCCTCTGTACAAAAGCTGTCGAAATAATTTCTCTAACATTCAATTCCAGCTGCTAGACAAAATTTCTATTTGCAATTCAGAGCGAAAATCACCTGAACCTCCAGGTATCCAACTGCAATTAATATACAGGGTGAACAAGTAGAATGGAACGAATTCTACTTTCAGCTGCTTGTGCCAAGAACAATTAGACCAGTTACACAGTCAACACCCTGTTGAAAATTCTCGAGCCAATTTTGTGAAGTTTTCATCAATTCGCTGTTCGTTCTGAAAATGCAGCGCCTTGAAACTTTTCACTTCCTTCCTCACCAGTGAGCCACCATTACTTAGCTGAGCATGACACACACGGCATTTCTTTGGTGACTAAATGTACTTCCAAATCTGTAATCTTTTCCTATCTGTGCCAGATCTGATCTTCCCTTTATTTGCTTTCTGGCAACTGTGAATAGACGCGCGCTTGTTGCTCAAACCCACTGAATCCTCCTCTCGCTTAATGCTGTTGGAAAGCAAGTAAATCACCCTTGTAACTGTTGAATGTTCAATGTTCTGCACTTTGGTGTCCACTGTTTATATGTTTTTTTTGGGCCAGTTGCGAAGGTTCAGTTCAGCGCGTTCGAAATTTAAGAAAAAATCAATTATGACCATCTGGTAAAATCCATGTGATGTGCTTTGCACGACCCCCCTGGTAACCACCTGTATTAACTCGCTTTATCGTTTCTGTTCCTTTACTTTTCTGTTTGATTAGTTTTGTATTTTTCTTCAACCAAATGGAAATACCCGAGCAAAACGTTATATCTTGCATGGCCTTGAGTAATTCGTTTTTTGTTTACCGTCCGAAGCCCAGCAGGACGTTGAAATGTCCATCATAAAATGCTCCTGCTGCAGCTTTTTAATTTACAGTCAAGCTGAGCTGGGAAGCGATCAAAACCCCCCCGGCCAATTTAAATCAAGTTGATATTACTGCTATTGCTAACTTGCATGCAAAGGCTTTCTGATCCGATTTAACGGCTTTCTTACAGTTGTACAATGGATCTTATCCAAGCTTTTGCTTCGGCAGTAGTTTGCATGTGCACAAACCTGTAGACACCTTGTTAATGGACAGTCTTGGGCTTTGGACGATCAGTCTCTGTCCTAAAACTAGCTTCCAGTCTGTCCTTAGCAATGACTAGCGGCATGCAATGTTTAATCGTGTGGACTAATGACTCTTTTTGTCTCTATGGGTCGGGTAGACAAGCTGGACAGCAGTTTCTCGCGATCCAGATCCAGCTCGATGAGCAGCCTGGAAAACATCACCTCCGAGGCGGTTCAGTGCTTGGTGTTTGCCGACTCCTACACGAGAAAGTCAGGTAGGTGAATCAAACCGTTACCACCGAAATCAAGAAGGCCCACTGGCTGAAGTGTGACGTCACTTAAACTAGTCCGACCAGGCATAACGCGTAGCGGAGTATATGATGGATCAACTGTACGAATATGAATATTTTAGACAAAAATAATGTCTTCAGGAATCAATATGCTTTTTACATTGTTTGATTTAAATGATTAGCCAGC